TAATGGAAAAGGAAGCTTTTTCCCATAATTTAAACCCTTTCTCTCTTCATAATCCCTGTCTTTTCTGGGAGTGCTGTGGAAGGTCTGGGGGTTCTAGGGAGGGACTGACGCAATAAAAGGGGAAAGTTGAAAGCTCTCCCGTGGAACCCCACATGCTGCCCAGCCTGCTCAGGTGCTGCCCCTTGGCAAGAGGTCTCTTCCCTCGGCATTTTCTCAAAGGGATGCTCCGTGCTCAGGTGGGTCCGGCTGCTCCCCGGTCCCTGCTGGATGTTCCGACCGTAGTTCCTGTAGGAACACTTGGGATATCCCTGTTAGCCCCTCTGGATTAGCAGCTCCCAGGTGTGCCCAGGTAGCTGCACTGAAAGCAGCTCGTCAAGTGGGGAGCTGCTACACCTAAGAGTGGGGGATGAGGTGAAGAAAGGTCCTGTAGGGTGTTCCCTCCCCTACGCAGCCCTTTGTCTAACCCTTAAACAATAGGGTGCCAGACTTTCATTTCATGTGCTTCTGAAATTGCAAACGGTGAACGTTTTCTCAGACACCGCATCTGCCAACACCAGGAACTCTTGCTGCCTTTGGAGAGCAGCACGCCTCCAGTGAACAGAGATCGACACGCGGGGAGGGTGAGGTTGGTTTTACAGGGAAAAATGGCAGAGGTCGGGTCACGAGGCCTGTGGCTTTGAGTGATTTCCTATGTCTCGTTCTGAATGGCACGGGATTTATCCTGGAGCAAAACTGCTGCCAGCAAGAATTCTGCCTGCCCTGGAAGGAAGAAGCACCTCCTCCAAACTGACATCAGGAACCGGGGAGGGTGAGCTATGTTTCACAGAGAAAAGGGCCTGTGATAGAGTCCACGAGCCAGGGGCCATGAAAGAAGGGCCGCCCCATGAAAATCTGAATGGAGAAGGATTTGTCCTGGACCCAAGCTGCCCCCACGTCTGATAGTAAAAGGGTTTAAAATCATGGGGATTTAGGGTTAAAAGGCAAATTAAGCTTAGTAGGCCCTGAAAAGAAAATAAACACCCTAAGTACAGGAAGATTTCGTACCTTACTAGAACTTCACCTGTGTATCTAGTACATGATAAATGATATAGTTGTTAGATGTGATGATTGTTTAGTAATTAAATATAATTATTGTTTAGTCGTAAGAATAATCATGAGAAACTGTGGTCAGGGACCTAAGAAAGATCATGAGAAACTCATGTCAATGTATACAATAGAACAATATAAGTTTAATAATTAATATGTAAGTTATATAATGATAGAATATGAAATACGTTCAGCTCAAAAGCCATGTTGGAGTCAGATGTGGGTCTGTACCCCTGATTCTCAGAGCTCTCAATAAAAGCACCTGCATATAATCATATCCCGTAATTATGTGTGTTCCTGAACGCTAACACGTTGACCAGGGGTTGCCTTGAAAATCCCAAGCACAACTCGCAAAATGACATCAGGAACCTGGACTGGTGAGTTTTCTTTCCCAGGGAAAAGGGCTGGAGTTTGTGCTCAGGGCCCTGTGGCCCTGAGTGGGCGGCTGAATGCAGAAAATCTGAACATCGAAGGATGTGTCCCGGACCTGAGCTGCCACCGCCTCAAACTTGTGCTGCCCTGACAGTCCCAAGGGAGCCCTGCAAACTGACACCAGGAACCTGGGCTGCTGAATTTGCTTTCGCAATGTAGATATCCCTCATTCATTCCCAGGGCCCTGTGACCCCCCTGGGTTGTCAGGTCCCAAGTTTCCTTTTGCCTCCTCAATGTCAAAACGGTGCAGGATTACTCCCAGTCCAAATCTCCCACCCCAAAGTACTCGGGGGGTTTTTTTCATGCCGAATACCTGTTGCAAACTGACAGTACAAAGCTGGGGGCTTGATTTTTTCTGTCTGGATTTCTCCTTGAGAAATCTGCCACCATATAACCCTAACCACAACCATTTTGCTTTGCTCAGAATTCACAACCTTCAGACCAGCAGCATGACACCTGACCCGCTGGCCCTCCACCGGCACCTTCCCAAAGCATTCCACTGCATTCCAGTAGTACTCGGCATTTTCAGCGGGCATCCCGTCTGACCCACATCCTGACCCTAAAAATGCACCAAGGAATTCTAAAATAGCCATTAGGAAGGTGTAACAATACTCTAAAAGACACCAGACAAGTCCTAAAAAGCCTTCAAATATCCCCTAAATATTCCTAATAGTCCTGCAAAAAAACCACTCAAGGAAGCCTGCTCAGCCTCCAAGCCCCTTCCTGTTGCTCTCTGGCCCACAGTTGTCATCCCTACCTTTTTGCAGCGGGTCCTGTTGTCCTCTGAGGGTTCTGGCGTTGTCCTGGTGCGAGGGTTGCTGCCGTGTTCCGGTGTGGTCTTGCTGTGAGGCTTGCTGTGTTGCGCTGCTGTTGTTAGGGGTGAAAAGGGAAAAGGCTGCTTAGGGTGAGGTTAGGGCTGGGGTGAGGGGTGATGCACCTGTACCCTAACTTGCCTCCTAAGCTGTACCCTGTAGCCCTGATCTCCACTAGACTGTCCAGCCCTCAAACTCTCTCCCTTTACTCCTCAACCCCTCCCTCTGCCCCCCAGCCCTCAGGCTCTGTGTGTCACCCTCAAGCCCCCCTTTGCCCCTCAAGGCCCCTCTCAGCTGCCCCTCCGCTCCTGTGTGCCACCCTGAATCCCTCTCCTTTGCCCCTCATCCCCCAGCTTCTGTGTCACCCTCCAGCTGCCGCTGCCCCCCTCAGCATCTCTCTGTGTCACCCACTGTCCCCTCCCCCTGTTCCTCCCTCAGCTCCC